GTCCTATATGGGCACGGTTCATGGCACCCTGAAACAATTACAGTATAATATCAAAGATAACGGATCACAGATCACCATAACAAATATAATTAAAAAGTTTGAAATATTGTGAGAATTACCAGAATGTGATACAGAGACACAAAGTGAGCAAACACTGCTGGAAAAATAATGCCAATAGACTTGCTCGACGCAGGGTTGCCACAAACCTTCAGTGTGTAAAAAACACAGTATCTGCAAAACACGATAGAGTGAAGCACAGTAAGATATCTGCCCGTACAGCTACAACTATGCCACACGAAGGATTTGGTGAGGAGGTGGCTGCTGGTCACTGGATGCCCCTGACAGAATTAATTCCACTCTTCTCAAGTTATCTGCTTGGGACTCAACATCCCAGTGGAGCCGACTGACTACACTCTAGCTACAAGGGTTGAGGGTAGAAAATATACATATTTGGCATTTTTAGCTAGCATCCTGTGAAAAAGGACCCTGCCTTCCACTCAGACTTGGAATATTGGAGTAGGATTCCGAACAGAATCAGGATCCTGATTCTGGATCCAAGTAGCCAAAAAAGAAAAAAAAAGGAAACTAAAAGTCCCCTATGCCTTTTTCAAGTTCAACAGAATTCAGTGAGTTGAGAATAGAGTCTGGTGATTCCCATCAAATTTCCACTTTTCATTCATAGGTTTTTAGATGTGAATCAATATGTTTGTTGTCAACATAGGTTCATCCTAGACCCCAAAGATATACTGAGAAGTAAGGTGCTATTGTTAGGGGAACCCACCTCCCCCAGATGTTTTACTGTTATAAAAATAGCCCTGGGTGGTGTGGCTCAGTTGGTTGGAGTATCATCCTGTCCACCAAAAGGTCGCAGGTCTGATTCCCAGTCAGGGCACCTACCCAGGTTGTAGGTTCGATCCCTGGTTGGGGTGCATACGGGAGGCAACTGATTGATGTTTCTCTCTCAGATTGATGTTTCTCACTCTCCTCCTCGCTCTCTCAAATCAATTTTTTAAAAAACATATCCTCAGGTTAGGATTTTTAAAAAATCTCTGAGCTAATTATAGTTCATTAAAAGAAAAAAACATTGTTTACACATTACTCTCTTAAATTTCAAGCACATAATAAAATCTAATTGAGTTGATAGAAAATCAGTTTTTCTGGCTGACCTATAGATCACATTCTAGCTAATCTTTTTTCCTTTACTTGAAAACTACTTTATATTTTCATATAATACTAAATATAATGTACTTTCCCCCCTTTTCAAACACATAAGTCACAATTTCTCCCTCCATTCTGGATTACTCACAACTATATACAGTATAAATATTCTCAACTATTTCATTATTTTAAAAAACAAACTCTTGCCCAGCTAGTATGACTCAGTGATTGAGCATCGACCTATAAACCCGGAGGTCACGGTTTGATTCCCAGTCAGGGCACATGCCCAGGTTTTGGGCAAGACCCACGGTAGGGGGCGTGCAAGAGGCAGCCAATGGATGACTCTCTCTCATCATTGATGTTTCTATCTCTCTCTCTCTCTTCCTTCCTCCCTCTCAAATCAATGAAAACATATTTAAAAATAAAATAAAATGAAATAAAAACAACCTCTTCCCTTGGCCCTTGAATCCTTCCGTTACCTGTTTCTTTGCTTCCTTACCAAGAAAAATGTATTAAAAGCGATTTGAATATGAGTTATCTTGAATCCCTCACCTCTGGTTCTCCTCAACCTGCCCTAGGTGGGTTTCTGACTCAGCCACTACCTACCTTGATGAGATCACCAACAACCTCCATGAGCACTGCTCCCAAAGTTACCTCTCAACCCTCATGTTACATGACTTTTTCATGAGTATTTAACAACACATGACTGTTGACATTGCCCTCCTCCTCTGCTTTAACATAATATTTTCTTTCCCACAGTTCTGTGATACTATCATAAATTTGGGCTTTCCTCTTATCTCACCAGGCTAGTCCCTCCCAACTTCGTTTGCTTGCTTCAAAACGTTGGCCTGTAGCATTCCCAGTGTTCTCCTTCTTAAGGAATTCAACTCAGCCTAAGACTTTGAGTACCATCTATATTCTGGTAAGTTCTAAATTTACATTTTCAGACATTACCCCTACTCTGAAGTCTAGACTCATCTATCAAACTGCCTATCTAATATCTCCTCTTAATTCTGTACTCTAAACCTCTAAAATCTAGACTCATTTATCAAATTGCCATTCTAATATCTCCTCTTAATTCTGTATTCTAAACTTCTAAAGTCTAGACGCATCTATCAAACTGCCTATTTGATATTTTCTCCTAACCTCATACTCTCATTTCCCACTCTCTCAGTTAAAGTATGAAAAACTCTGATGGCTCAAGCCAAGAGCCTAGGGTATCATCCTTGATCTCTCTCTACTTGTCCCTATCACTCCCAATTTATCAGCTAAGTCTACTGCTCCACCCCCAAATAAAGAGGATCATAGTTTATGAAAATAATGACTATTTTGTCTCTTCCTTTTTGATCTGCTTATTTTTCTTCTCTTAATGCATTAATAAGGACCTGCTGGGATATGTTGAGGATAGCATTGAGAGTGAACATTATTTGCATGTACTTGAATTGAATGTGAATGCTTCTAACTTTTTACTACTGAGTATAATGCTCTCCGATGGTGTCTGGTAGATGTACTGTTTGTTATAGGACATTTCTTTCCACTTGACTGTGCAGCAAATGTTCGGTTAGAACTGGATCTCAGACTTTTCAAATTAATTTTGGACATGATCGTAAAATTCTTCTCTTGTAATCTGTGAATTTAGCGAACATATTAGATACCCTAGAATCGCATCATCTTTGCATTCTTGAGGTTCACCTGTTCCTCCAATTCACTTCCCCTGGACTTGGGCCGCTCCCGTGTCCACGGCTGCTCTGAAAGCACTTTGTGCTAGGCAGGCTCTTGGTTTTCTTGAACCATGTGATACCATCTCCCCGGATCCTCTAGAAGGAGCCTGCCTTCTGGTTTTCCTTTTCTGTGAAGGATCACTGAAAAGGAAAACCCCTCGAAAATTAATGCTGGCTCAAGTTCAGGCAAGGTGAGAAAAGAAACCTGTGCGGGGAGAAGTCGAGACAGAGACGGTAAAATGTCAATGCCTAACCAAAAGACTAGTCTCTCTAGGTGATTGAGAGCCGGGTCGAAGAGCCTGGAGCCTGTGCTTAGTATGCCATCTTGAGGACAGAGAGGAAAGGACTCCAGTTATTTTGGTTGATGACATAAAGAGATTTGGGGATCATCTTGACTTAGGGGAATGCCCTTGATCTGGAATATAATGACATATAGCAGGGCCGGGAAAAGTGATCCTTCACAGAGAAGGAAAACCCCACCAAAATTAATGCTGGCTCAAGTTCAAGTAAGGTGAGAAAAGAAACCGGTGTCAGAAGAAGGAAAGACAGAGACCATAAAATGGAAAGGGCTAAAAAATTTTAATTGAAAGCTGATTATTTCCCTTGAAAATTTCCATCATCATCATCCTCCGAAAAAAATTTGCTAAACATTCTCATAGGTCCTGAATCTTTAATATATAAAAGGCGTGGGGAGGAAGCCAAAGGAAAGTTCCCTTTCATACAATCTGACCAACAATATGACCAACATTTGTATGTAGCCAGGTACGAGGTAGAAAAAGTGGAAGAAAGATTGAAGTCATACTGAAACTTCCCTCTAGATTAATGGGAGAATTTCTTTGAATTTTAGTAACTATCATAGGCCTCTTAGAATATTCAGGGGGGATAAGAATTGGGAATCCTAAATCAGTCTTGTATACCTTGATTGAGTACACAAATACCTGTGGAAACCTTTTGACATGCCAGGCACTAGGACATGCATTGGAGATAAAGCTCTGAGAAATGCGCGCATCAGCCCTGCCTTCATGAAACGTGCGGCCTGGTGAGGGGCGAGAACACGGACAAGCATTCACTGCCAATGTGATGCGAAGTACTGAAAGCAGGGGAGGAGTGACTGCCGGTAAACAGCATGCATAGGTCATTAAATTGAGACTTTAAAAGAGTAGACACACAGCCATTGGTCATTCCAACCAGACTCCTTGTTTCTTTCCAAAGCTGGAAAAAAAAACACCCACAGATTCTTTGCTTATGACAGATATTTTCCTCTTTATCTAAAGGTTTCTTTAAAAACAAGAGTGTGCCCTGGCCAGGTAGCTCAGTTGGTTAGAGCATCATCCCCATACACCAAGGTTGCCGGTTCTGTTCCGGGCAGGGCACATGCAACAACCAACCAGTGAGGGCATAAATAATTGGAGCAACAAATCGACATTTCTCTCTCTCTCTAAAAACCAATCAATGAATAAAAATTAAAAAACAAGAATGTATGGTTGCAGAATCATGGCATTCCAGAGGCAGGGCCTTGGTGACCACTGGCTATCAGTGGAAAATTGGCTTGTGTTCTCACTGTCACAACTCAAGTGGAGCCCACCGACTGTGAGGAAAAAGATGTGACAGCCTGAGGGTCTGCTCCAGGGCAAATCCTCTATGAGAAAAGACAAAGCTCACATTGTTCTACTAGCGAACTTAAGAGGACTTGGGGAAGGTGAAAAATGTTTTAGTTGGACTTCGCTGATGACCGGTTTAGGTTATCGCCAAGAAGCAGGAGAAAGGATAGCAGATGGGCTAGGACCTCAACAAAGCTGCCTGGGAGCGACTCTGATATTCATGAAAATCTCTTGCATGAGGACCGAATGCTAACCTCAAGGTAGTCAACTCAGAAGTGAGATTCAGTTTTCAGGTTGTCCCCACAAAACTGGACATACGAGCCATTCTGGGACCTGGCGAAAGCTGAAGAATGCCCTTGCACAGGGTGCAGGAACACATTCGCCAGTATCAAGGGATAGGCTTTTTATCCCCACGTCCTGGATACCTGAATCACTACGAGGGCTTTCAGTGCAGATGTACATTGAATATGCTCTGGGGGTCAAACATGACAAGATAGACATTTATGAAATCACTGCTTTTTATTTTTAAAGAAGGAAAGAGTATAGAAGCACAGAGAGGGTAAGTGGTTTCCCATAGAATCAATCACAGGCTCTCTCCACTATACTAGCTTGCCTCTCTTGCTATTGGAGAATTTCTCAAAGCACAAGAAATCAGGGGCCTTGTTCAGGGCTGGCAGGGGTGAGGGAGTGCTATTCCATTATTATGGTAATCTGTGATCTTTAGAACTACAAAAGCCTGCAGGATCTCAAGATGTCTAGACGAAAAAAGGCTTCCACTGGAGGACTGGGATGGTGGAGCATGGCTCCTGGAGAGAGTGACAGTGTAAGTGGTGGAGCTGGCGAGTGGCCATTCCTGTCCCCACAGTGACTCTGCACGTTTTACTTCTCAGCGTGGATGTAAGCCCACAGCGGGTTTTCCTCCCACCAAGGCAGACAGGCCAGGCTGGTAGTCACTTCCTTCTGGATGGGCCAGCCCCAGGCCTCAAAGAACGGAATCAGATTCTTCTGCACTTTTTTGGAGAACTTCATCACCCACAGGTTCATCTTGCCAACGTTGTCTTTGGGGATCTCGACGAGGTTCTGGTACTCAGCAAAGAGGCAGGTGAATGACTCCCACCCAAAGGCCTCCTGGAGCTGGGAAGACATTTATGAAATCACTACTTTTATTTTGAAAGAAGGGAAAAAAGAAATACGAAGCACAGAGAGATTAAGTGGTTTTCCATAGAATCAGAGGCTCTATGAGGCGTCCAGTTTCCAAAAGGAACTGCAACGAGCTTGGTCATCGGAATGTGTCATTGTGGGTGATTGCTGCCTCTTAATCATTCATTAGCTTCACTATTATCTGTCCCTGTCTCCCCACATGACCCCTGCACATAAATACAATCCCATTGGCTCATTCCACCTCCTGTCAAAAACCTATTCCCCCTGAGTCTAGTAGGGGATGTCATGGGAACCTAATATCTGAAAGGGGGTAAATATTCAATAAGTGACAGTTATTATGATTATTATTATCTTTAACTTAAAAAAAAAATGGCCCGGCCGGGTGTGGCTCAGCGGTTGAGCATCGACCTAGGATCCAGGCGATCAGGGTTCGATTCCCGGTCAGGGCACATGCCCGGGTTGCGGGCTGCAGCCGATCAATGACTCTCTCATCACTGATATTTCTCTCTCTCTCCCTCTCCTTTCCTCTCGGTGAAATCAATAAAAAATATATTTTAAAAAAAAAAGATCCCCCAGATCCTAACTGTTTTCCCAGGCATCAGACAGGTCTGAGCCTGAGTGAGATGAAAAACCCTCACGTAGTACATCCTTGGGATGTTATGGAGAGAAGAGGGCAATAGAGCTGAACTTTGATAGGTGACCTGCCAGGTGATAGATAAGATGTTCAAACAAGTTTCAGCCGCAGGAAGGAAACATGGGGAGGCACAGAAGCCTGGAACAGCAAGGTATGCTCCTAGGGGGAAGCAGCCTGGTGCAATGGAGGGTAATTACGGAGGTGAGGAAACTGGGCGCTGGAGCTGGAGGTTCCCATAAGGCACCTTCCACACTCTGCTAACCAGCTTCGACTTTATGCTGCGTGGAGAGGAGAGCACTGGGAAAGTGTTAAGTGTGGAATATGAAGATTGTTTAGGAAGATGGGTTGTAGAGGTAGAGGCAAGGTGCTGGAACAATTTAGGAGGCTTCTGAAATAGGCAAGGAAGGGTAATGAGGACCTGAGCTAGGGCGGAGTGGGAGGCGTGAGGGCGAGGAGAGCCCCTGCAGGCTCGGGAAGCAGGTGTCTGCTTGTCCCGAGGCCGAGGCTCAGGCGCCAAGATGGCTTTTGCAAAATGAAGTTCAGGGCCCCATGGTGAGTGGGGAGGTGGAGAGGGCAGAGTTAGGCCTTTGACTTTCCGCTTCAGTGGCAACCTCCTACCATCTAAGGTCTGTTTCCTTGTAGACCCTCAGACTGGCTAAATAAGAATCCAGAATGGAGGCAACGCAAAGTCATTTCGTTGACATTCACTCTTTAGAAAAGTGAGTGAAAGATACCCGGCCGGTGTGGCTCAGTGGTTAAGCATCGACCCATGATCCAGGAGATAGCGGTTAGATTCCAGGTTTCAGGCTCGATCCCCAGCAGGGGGCGTGCGGGAGGCAGCTGATCAATGAGTCTCTCTCATCATTGGTTTCTCTCTCTCTCTCTCTCTCTCTCTCTCTCCCTCTCCCTTCCTCTCTCTGAAATCAATAAAGGCATATTTTAAAAAAAAATGAGTGAAAGCAGAAATAAAAAAGAAATAACTCATCATTAACTTCTGATTTTAAGTTCTGGGTCCGTCCTTTAAATGTGTGATGTTGGACAGGCTGTTTAAACTCATCTTAGTATGTGCGTCTATGAGAAGTGCGCCGTCCAGCTCCTAGCGGCAGGGTTGATGAGGACAGTGTAGGAGATCTGATTTGGAGAACAGCTTCGACAACTCCAAAACATTAAAATCCCAAGTAGCACCGGAGGAGGAGACAGGGACTTGTGCTTATTTCACAGGAAGTGGACCTGGTTCAGGGCTTCCTCCTACTGAGTTGGTTGGTGAGTTAGTTAGTTAATGATTCTAAAAACATTTGGGGTTCAAGTGGGGTGACAGAAACCTGCGAATCTCCTTGCTAGACTGACCTCCTACCATTCCTTCTTGCAGTTGTCCCATAGACACATCACTATTACTATGAAGGGACGTAACACTCACTTGGCCCATAAAACTAAGTGAGGTAAAACAAAGCGAAATAAGACAATGACCCTGTCTGGAGCGCTTATTAGGGGACCAAGGTCAAAACCAATGAGTGGAAGAGCTGCGATTCAATCTCAAGAATGCTTAACTTGGTACTTTGGCCAAGAACTTCTGCTCTTGGCCAAAGTGCCAATAGGCTGTGTTTCTACTTTTTTTTTTTTTTCTTTTTCATAATACTTTTCCTTTCCTCTTACTTATGATCGCAAAATCACAGGAGGCAAGGGGGACAACTCCAAAACATTAAAATCCCAAGTAGCACTGGGGGAGGAGACAGGGACTTGTGCTTATTTCACATCTAGAAATGTATAAGGTGAGAAATCGCCGTACAGCCCAGTCTCCCGTGTCCGGGGGAGGGGGGGGGGCCCAGGCTGGTGAGGGTGGTGAAGGGTGTTACAGGACGAAGGGGTGTGATGGTCCCCACCTCCCCGAATCTCGGCTCAGTACCTGTAGATACGTTTCCAGAGCTGTCCACGTGTCCCACTTACACAGGGGGGCTCCCTCCTTCAGGTACTCTCTGATTCTCTTCTCTCGTGCTTGAGGGCACAGAGCTTGGTGGGCCTGAGCCCTGGGGATGTCCAGGACTGTCTCATGCACATAGATGGACCAGAGGTTGCAAGTAGCCTCAGTAGTGTTTGGGGGGAATTCCCACCCATGGTGCTGCTGGTTGTGGCCCAGCTCATGCATGGGTCCCCACAGACCTCTTCTTCTTATGTGGGTCTCACTGATGAGTTCCTTCACCGACTGCACGTGACACATGATGGGGTACCCTGAATGCATCCAGCCTGGGAACCCAAAAGGAAGAGCTGAGGCATGGTGGGGGGGCACCCGAACCCATCTCCCTTCATTCCTCTCCACTGTGTAACTTTCCCTCAACATCCTGGCTGCAGCCAGTTAATTCCAGGATCTCTGTGCTCATTGGAAAGTAGATGGCTCTCCTGACCTGGTCAGAAACTGGAGTCCTTGCTCCCACCCAGCCCCTCACACTGGAGTTATACCCTCCACCTCACTGGGGCCCTGAAGACTATGAATACACTTCACACGTTCTCGATATAATTCCGGGCTTCATTTGCATGTGTTACCTATGCGTGTGAGGCTGTGAGTTTGAGACCCTTGAAACGAGAATGGTGTCATCTCTTCTCCTATGCAGACTACTACTGCCCAGATGTATACTCTTTAACACAGAGAATCTTGAGGCCCAGAGGAATTTTTCCCACGTGGGAACCAGACTTCCTTATTTTTTCCTTTAGATTCCCTTCTTTCCTCTAAACCACTCAATACTTAATATAAGCCTCGTTAGTCCCTCTTTTCATTGCCAATTCTGACTTATGCTTGAAGGAAATGTTTCTATTTTAGCCTCTCCCAGTGTCATCTGTGAACTCCTGGTACTATGTTTTCTGAGGTGGTTCTACCCATCCTGTGCAATCTCACCTTGTAGGTGTAGATGATGTACCTTCTCGCATGTAAACATCTTTGCATCCCATCAAGGTCCATGTCTTTTATGTCTATCTACCTTTATCAGTAAGATTATGCCTTTCCCATACTGGACATTAAAAAGGGGCAAAATAATAAATGGTGCCCACTGACTAGAAGTCCTTCCCTGGAGCACCCACCAGAGGAGATCTGCACGTCGGCAACAATCCTCTCAGGACGGTGGAAGGGGAAGGGCTGAGACGCCAGCTTGGCTATAGCCTGCATTATCTCATCCCAGAGGCGGAGCACAGGCTCGGGGTCCTCCAGGGCCTGGAGGTTTGCAGTTGGCACAGTCAGGATGATGTTGTCTGTTTCCAGCTCTCCCCAGGGAGCCTGGATCTCCTGGATACAGCTCCTCCACTCCTCCAGGGATGTCTTACCTGGCAATAAATACCACGGATCTGTCAGCCGCTTCCCCAACTTCCCTTGAACTGAAAAACACAACTTGAACTCCAGGAGGAAGATACGGAAATAATGAACTACTATCACGCAGGTCTCCATGCTGTGAAGGGAAGGACAGGCCTCCAGGCCCTTGCTTTGGTTCTACCCTGCAGTCCCCACAGACAGGGTGATCGATTTCTCCTGCCTCCACTTCAACATCGAGCAGTTCTCCCTCCTTCTGCCCACCTGGCCTTACCCCTCTCCTCCTTAGCAACCAGCCTCTAACCACTGCAGCACCCTCAGCAGACCCTTCACCCCTCAACGTTTAGTCCACTTACCCAGCTTGTAGTATGGGGCAGGCACAGCCCCCTTAACAGTGACGGAGATGGGTCCCAGGTTACTGCCTTTGGGTAAGATGACATAGAGAAGGCCACCCCAGAGGCAAGAGATTGACTGAGTGGTGTTTCCCATACACCACTGGCGAGTCACCACAGGGGCTCGACACAGCTTGCTGGCATTGGTCAGGTCATCGGTGTGGCAGCCAATCTGTACCTGGAAAAGCGATTCCACCGTGTGTGGGAGGAACTAGGTCCCTGTGGTGTGAGTGTGGGGTGGTGTGCAATGTTGTGTGGATGCAGGGTATTAGAAAAACTTCAAGAGCTCCAGGATGGCCGTGGAGTAGATGGAAGTTACACTCACCTCCTCCCTGGACCAAATCAAAATTACAACTAAGTTATAGAGCAATCAACCTGAGTGATCAACTAAAGACTAGCTGAACAGAAGTCTTATAAACAAGGATTTATAGAAGATTCCACATTGAAACTGGTAGGAAGGGTGGAGACACGAAGGGGCTGGCCACGCAGCCATGTGCAGTGGTTGAGAATACCAACAGCTACCTCAGCTGCAAAAGTACCCCGGGAAGAACACGGGGTATCAACTTCACACCAGGCTCCCTACCCCGGAGCACCAGTGCTGGGAAGAGGAGCCCGCATAACATCTGACTGTGAAAATCAGAGTTTAAAGACAAAGAGAGAATCTTAAAAGCAGCAAGAGAAAAGCAGTTAGTTACCTACAAGGGAGCCCCCATATGACTGTCCGCTGATTTCTCAACAGAAACCTTGCAGGCCAGAAGGGAGTGGCACGAAATATTCAAAGTGATGAAAAGCAAGGACCTAGCCCTGGCTAGTGTCGTTCAGTTGGTCAAGCATCGTCCCAGGCACAGAAAGGTCACTGGTTCGATTCCCGATCAGGGCACATGCAGTCGGGCAGCAACCAATTAATGTTTTTCTCTTCACTTCGATGTTTCTCTTTCTCTCTTTCTCTCTCTCTTCCTCACCCTTCCTCTCTATCTAAAATCAACATATATAATTATTTGCAGATGACATGACACTGTATATAGAGAACCCTAACAATTTCACCTAAAAACTACTAGAACTGATGAATAGATCCTGTAAAGCAGCAGAATACAAAATAAATATTCAGAAATTGGTTGCATTTTCATATGGCAATAGTGAACTATCAGAAGGGAAAACTAAGAAAATAATCTCATTTATAGTTGCATCAAAAAATAATAAAATACCTAGGAATGAATTTAGCCAAGGAGGTAAAAGACCTGTACTCAAAAAATAATAAAATGCTGAAGCAAGAAACTGAAGATGATATAAATAAATGGAAGCATATACCATGTTAATGAATTGGAAGAACTAACTTCATTAAAATGTCCATACTACCAAAAGCAATCTATAGATTCAAAGCAATTCCCATCAAAATACCAATGGCATTTTTCATAGAACTAGAACATGTCATCCAAACATTTGTATGGAACCTCAAAAGACCCTGAATAACTACAACAATCTTGAGAAAGAACCTGGAGTTGGAGGTATCATGCTACCTGATATCAAACACGCTATAGTCATCAAAACAGCATGGTACTGGCATAAAAACATACACATAGATCAATGGAACAAATTAGAAAGCTCAGAAATAAACCTATGCCTATATGCACAGCAAAGGAGGCAAGAACACACAATGGAGTAAAGACAGTCTATTTGATTAATAGTGCTGGGAAAGTTGGACAAATACACGCAAAAAAAAAAAAGAAAAGAAAAAAGAAAAGAAACTAGATCACTCCTTACACCACACACAAGAATAAAATCAAAATGGATTAAAGCTTAAATGTAAAACTCGAAACCATAAAAATCCTAGAAGAAAACATACCCAGAAGTGAATCACTGGGTCATAAGGCAGTTCCATTTTTAATTTTAAACATAGGCAGGAAAATATCAGACATTTCTCATAGCAATATTTTTTCTGATGTATCTCCTCGGGCAAGGGAAACAAAAGAAAAAAAATAAACAAATGGGACCACATCAAACTAAAAAGATTTTGCACAGCAAAGGAAATTCTCAACAAAATGAAAAGACAACCTACTGAATGGGAGAAGATATTGGCCAATGATACACCCTCTAAGGGCTTAATATCAAAAATTCATAAAGAACTCATACAACTCAACAGCAAAAAACCCCAAACAATCCAATTAAAAAATGGGCAAAGAACCTGAATAGTCACTTCTTCAAGAGGACATACAAATGGCCATAGACATATGAAAAGATGCTCAGTGTCACTAATCATCTGAGAGATGCAAATTAAAATCACAATAACATATCACTCACACCTCTCAGAATGGCTGTCATCAATAAATCAACAAACAAGAGGTGTTTGGTGGGGCTGTGGTGAAAAGGGAACCCTCATGCACTATTGGAGGGAAGGCAGACTGGTGCAGCTACCATGGAAAACACGTAGGGAGGCTCCTCAAAAAATTAAAAATGGAGCTGCCTTATGATCCAGTGATTTCACTTATATATATATATATATAAGTGAAATCACTGGAGATATATATATATATATATATATCTGAAGAAACCCAAAGCACTAAATCGAAAGAATATATGCACCATTCTGTCCATTGCAGCGTTATTTACAATAGCCAAGATATGGAAGCACCCCAAGTGCCCATCAATAGAGGAGTGGATAAAAAAGCTGTGGTACATATATACAGTGGAATATTACTCAGCCATAAAAAGAATGAAATCCTACCATTTGCCACAGCATGGATGGACCTAGAGGGTATTGTGCTAAGTGAAATGAGTTGGTCAGAGTAAGATTTGTCTTACCATGTGATTTCACTTATGTGTGGAATCTAAAGAATAAAATAAATGAACAAACAAAATTGAAACAGACTCATAGATACAGAGAACAGACTGATGTTTGCCAGAGGGGACAGGGGTTTGGGGAACTGGGTGAAATAGCTGAAGGGGTTGAGAAGTACAGATTGGTAGTTGCAAAATAACCATGGGATGTCAAGTCCAACGTAGGGAATATAGTCAATAATATTGTAACAACTGTGTATAGTGCCAGGTGGGTACTTGAATTAGTGAGGGGAAGACTGTGTATAAAGTATGTGATTGTCTAACCACTATGCTATAAACATGAAACTAACACAAAATAATGTATGTAAACGGTAATAAAATAAAATAAAAAAATTAAAAAAAGACAAACTCCAGCTTCTCTTTTCTCTGAGCTGTGCATGGAAACCTGTGATATTTTAGCACTCCAAAAGTCACATGGACTGAAAGGCACATAGAATGACTTTTTCAGGGATTAGAACAGCTCTTGAGGCTGATTCTGACTAGGGTCCCTTCATACCAGGCAGAAGCCCGGGCTGTTCTACGGGGACCCTAAACCAGCCCGTTGAGTTTGATGCTGGGGATGAGCCTGATGGGTCCTGTCTGCCCTTTGTGCCCAGACTGGAGATCTGACTACAGGCTGTGGGATCTGGCCTGAGGGGGAGGCCCGAGTCTCTCTTTCTCTCTTGCCCAGGGCTCCCCTCCTGGTCTGATGGACTGAGTACTCCTTTGTCTGGAGTCCTGGAATTGCTTTTCTTGGGTTTAATATAAGTGAGCTCCAGAAAGGAGCCTGACACAAGAAACCCTAACGGTGGAAGGAAGCGACCTTCAGAACTGAGGCAGGGAGAATTTAAATTCTGTGTGCAGGGCCTAGTTTTGTGAGTGACCAGATTAAGTATACCCTTCAGGTGTCAAGGTAAAGCGGTAAAGCCCAGAAAGGCAGTGTGCTATGGGGAAACGGGTGAGCTTGAGAATATGCAACGGGCCCCCCTTCTCACACTTGCTGTCTCAAACGTTGCCACGCACAGAAATCGCAGGCTTAGGGCTGAGTCCTGGATCTGATGTTAGCGCTCTGGCAACGTCGCTCACTGCCTCAGGCCCCGTCAAATTTCGCTGCTTCACCTGGGAAATCTGTAAAACGGGCAGAATACTCCCTTCCCGAGCTCCTGGGAGCACTGCCATGAGCTGGATGGGCATGAAGCAGCCCTGAGGTTTGGGGTGAGGGCAGTGGGTGTTCTGGCCTTACCTTCAGGCCGGCGGAGGCCGCAGCTGCAGACAGTGAGACTTCTGCCTTTTGTCCATTTGGGATATAGAGCCCAGTGCTCACCCAGGAGTCACTCTTGCCTGAGAAAAGCCATAGGAAAGGCTGAGCTCTTCCCCCACACGAAGCCTCACTCTCAGGTGCAGGCCTCCCCGACATACCCTAACTCACCCATGCTCCTTGCTCTCAGCCCTCCTAAACCCCAAGCAGGACCCCAGCGCCTCTTCCTGGACCTCAGCACCTGCTAACCCACCTTCCCCGGGTCCCACGCAGCTCCCAGCACTCTCCCCTCCCTCCACACCTGGGTTGTTTCCAAGGATGTCCACAGTGATGGGGCAGTCCGAGGGGGCCCAGCTGGTGTCGAGTTTCTTGGTTTGCAGCTCCTTCATCAGCTCGGTGCAGTCAGTCCCGGAGCTGACGAGCTCCGTGGCTAGGTGGAGCACTGCAGCCTCCCGGGAACCACTGGCCACTGGGTGTTTGGGGCTCACAGCTGGGATGCCCCACACCTTCAGCATCTTCCGTAAATATCGGTGAATGGATATGTACGCAGGGGCCTTCTCTGCAGGGATCTGCAGGAAGGCGGCCCCATCGAGTTCCAGTTTTTTCATCCAGCTCTTTTCCAAGTTTTCGCCCCCATGGTTCAGGGAAGCCTGGAACTTCAACAGCGCCTTGCGAAAGTGGTAGCTCCTCATCTCGGGGGTGGGGACAGGGAAACAGCCTGGGTTGAGGGTCTGAGGTAGGATGCTGAGGCCAAAGCAGTTGAGAATGTTGTTACCAGGGAAACAAGCCAAGGCGGAGCAGTCCGGGTTCCGGGCGGCCCAGGTCCAGGCCTGGCCCCCGATCAGCAAGCCCCCTCCTTCAGCCACAAACTCCTGCAGCTGCTTCGCCTGACTGTTGCTGTAAGCCTTGCAGCAGTAGACAGCCATGCAGCTCGTCACACGGGGCTCCAGGCTGCATTCCACGCCATGCTCTGACAGCAGGGCATACAGGTCTTTTAGTTCTGTGTCCACCCCGACTTTGCCAGTCTGGCCTCTGGATAGCCAGCGTATGGCATTGAGCAAAAAGGGCCCCAACTTGGGAGTCAAGAGCATGCCCTCGTGGGCAGCCAGGACCACCCGGCCCCGGCCGTAGCGGGCAGCGGCCAGGAAGCAGCTGAGGGAGGCATCTAGCCCCAGAGGGAAGGCCAGGGCCCCGTGCACCAGCAGCTGCGAGGGGATTCCTCCCATCCTGATGTCCAGCTCGCAGATCCCTTTCAGGAGCTGGTTCTGGTCCTGCTGCAATTCCTCTCCACACCTGGAAAGTGAAACGGGGAACAAAGGGGTTACAGTCAGTCAATGAACCACTGACCTGAGCTCACTGCAGAGAGAAATCTGTGTGTGGGTACAGAGACCACCAGGTTCATGCCAGTTTCCTGTTCTTACTGGTAACACTTAGGACTGTAGTGCACAGAACCATTTATTTTTTCATGTCTGAGGCATATGTTTTCACCTCTTAACAACTGATGGCATGTCATTGTTTAATGGGCATTGCTTGCTCTTTCTCGGTGACACATAAAATAACGGTGCCTCTTATAATCCATGTGGCCATAGATCTGATGAAATACTGAAGAGGTAGTGGCCTTAATTGCACATTTAAAAAAAAATTTTATTTTAAATACATCTTTATTGATTTCAGAGAGAGGAAGGGGAGGGAGGGAGAGAGAGATAGAAACATCAATGATGAGAGTCATTGATCGGCTGCCTCCTGCACACCTCCCGCTGGGGATCGAGCCCGCAACCCGGGCCTGTGCCCTGACCGGGAATCGAACCCGTGACCTCCTGGACCCTAGGCCAATGCTCAATCACTGAGCCATGCTCGGCCGGGCTCGCACATCTTAAAATCCACACTCTCCGAATGAATTCTTCCCATGTCAGTCAACTGAGTGTGAGCTAGTCTGGCTTGAATTTCCTATCTTTTCAAATAGTTAAACATATAAATGAATTAAATTAGAAGAAATGGTCTATTATTCCAAGAGAAAGTAGTTCTACTTATACATATCTCAGAGCTAATTTTCTGCAAAAGGTGGGGGGGGGGGGCTGTAAAAAAACATCAAATTACCCTCACCTTGTGCCAGTTCTGATCCAGGGACACATTACAAGTAAGTTGTTTAACATAACACTTGAAGATTTATACAAACACACTTTTTTTTGTTGTTGTTACAAAACAAAATTCTCGCCTAAATCTGATGATGTATTTACTACTTTTTATTGAGAAATGTTCAAAGTGTAATGATTCAGAAAAGGTTTTGTATTCCAGGACTTTTCCTTCTTTCTCTTTTAAAAAAACCAATTAGTAGATGCTCTAAATGTCAAACAATAGGAAACTGGTTAAATAAGTTATGGTTAACCCTAGAGAGCATACCAAGTGGTAATTAAGAGAATTAGATAGTGGAAAATGCTTAGTGAGAAATTTTTAAAAATCAGATTCCAAGATACTGTGCACTAAATAAGCTGAAGTTTGCAAAACAAACAAAACACCCAAAACAAAGCAAAAACAGATAAAAAACACAAAACCAGACACAGATACAGGATTTAAAGTAACATGGCGAATGCCATACGGGTTCAGGTATCAGTGTTGTTTTAAAAAAAAGTTTTTATTGATTTTAGAGAGAAGAAGGGAGAAGGGAGAGGGAAAGAGAGAGAAACATTGTTCACCTGCCTCCTGTATGCACCTCGACCGGAGACTGGAGCCACAACCTGGGCATGTGCCCTGACCAGGAATCGAACCAGCAACCTTTCGGTGCACAGGACGGTGCTCAACCAACTGAGCCACACCGGCCAAGGCCAGGCATCAGTTTTGCTCGTAGCCTGTTCTACCTGTAGAGACCCTAGACTTGTGGGAAGTTAATGACATTGAGCTACAAGACTTAGCTTGTAGACTTGGCTTCCACTTTTAAGTGTTCTTCCAGAATCTTCTGAAAAGCACCTTCTAAAGTCTCACCTAATGACAGAAAACCTTCAGTCTGGAGAGCCGCCGTTAATGAAATTGCTAACCTTCGGATTCACGCTCACTCCTAAGTCTACTATCCAGCTGAGCGGGTCGCTGGTGGGCTCCGGTTCTGATGGTCCGGGCATGATCCTGCTTCCTCCCTCGACACAACGGCCAGAGGACCCTATGAAAATCACTTGCCCTCTCAAAGCTGCCATTCGCTCATTGGTTTCTGGGCATATTAAATAAAGATAACATTCCTAAGTTGGCAAATACACTGCTTGATACACAGAAAGCCTTCAACAGGGGTCAATGATTATTTAAAATACATAAATACCCCCAGTATACTGATCTGATAATAGGATGTTATATCCGATAAACAGGGACCTTAATACCTAAAGGTCACTGATACCGGTTGAGTTGTGTCCCTCCGAAATTTATAAATTTATATGTGGAAGTCCTAACCCCCAGCACTTCAGAATGCAACCTTATTTGGAAATCAGATAATCGAAGAGGTAATTAGCTAAGTTAGGATAAGGCCATACTGGAGTAGGGTGGGCCCCTAATCCAATATGACTGGTGCCCTTTTTAAAAGGGGAACTCTGGACACTAAAAGCAGACAGGGAGAATCCCGGGTGTCCATGAAGGTGGAGATCAGGGGCTTCAGCAATCCAAGAAAGGCCAAGGAGAGCCAACACACCACCAGAAAAGGTTCACCCTGGCAACCCTCACAAGGAACCAACTCTTCCAGGGCCTCCATCTCAGATTTGCAGCCTCCGACTATGAGATGATTAGCCACCCGCTTCGTGGTACTTGGTTCTGCCAGCCCTAGAAGCTACTAGTCCCGATTCTGAAAATTGATTCTCATAAAACCCTTAGCTGAAGGTGATGCATAAAACTAGTTTGGATGTTTCCTCACATTCTTGGACCTACTTTTAAAAACACTGGCACCAACTCAGAAAGTTGCTCAGGGGTAGGACCACATCTTGTATGTATGTCTCTGGCTCCAGAAGCACCTACTTCTGAGCCCGGCGGGGAGACAGGATCTGTAGGCAGTTAGGCATGCCACAGACACTAGGGGGGCTTTGAGGATGCAATTAGGTGAAGTTAACACGCCACGGGGCGAGATGACCCATTGAGCCGCACTGCCTCATAGGAGTGTGCCTGTTTCCTCTCCGGAAAAGACTCTCCCTCTCAGCGTTGCCAGTGTTCAATAGGTCATTCTGTATTAAATGCCTAAGACAGTGCCTGGCACAATTCTGAAATTTTAAACTAGGCAGTCAGGATGGGCTGCCCAGGTCGGGCCGAGGAAAGCAGCGCCGGGCCTCCAGGAAGAGCCTGCGGCCCAGAGAGGGAGCCCGTGCGCCTGCAGCAGAGCCGGGCCGGAGGCCGGAGGGGTGACGGGAGGCCGGGTAAGGGTAATGCGAATGATCTCAGATCTCTACTTGCCAGTATTTAAGTCTTGTAAGATACCTTTTTTATAATATTTAATCTGGATAATGGCATAATGGAAGCAGCTATTATTTAAGGAGGTTTCATACAGGCCAGGCATTTATACGTAGGGATGATCTCTTTTAATGGTTATAATAAACCTGAAAGGTATCCTTCTCGCTTTATAAATGAGACTTAGGAACGTTAGTCCGTTCGCCCCATGTTTCTTAGCTAATAACTGGCAAGGACAGGAAGCAGATCCAGGGTGGCTCTCACCTGCACACACCAGAAATCTCTCTTCCACTGTGGAGCGTTTGCATGAAGCCCACAGCGGGCTACACGGCGATCGACAGGTATATTGTGTGCCAGAGAGGCTTTGGATAGGCAGGAAGGTGCCGACAATACTGCGTTGATGAAAAAGGAGAAGCGTGTCCCTTTAGAGCTGGAAGAGCAGAAGGCACAGAGGAAGGGAGGGAAGGAGAGGCGGTGGCGTTTAGGTCACACACCAAATCCCACCCGAGCAGACAGGTGACACGGGGCGATGGCCTTCTGAATGCCACTGACTGGCCTGTCATGGCAAAGCCAGCAGTGATCAGAAAGTTCAGTGGGAAGTGAGCTGCTGTCACTGTGGCCACAGGTTGGCCTCGTCTATTCTGTCCCCTGTGGTGACGAGTTGACTTATTTTACCTGAGGCGCTTGGTTCTTAATTTGTTTTCTTGACTTGGAAATCCCCCTTTCATCTCATTCTGTCTCCGGTTTTATTTAACATACATTTTTTTTAGAAAGTTCTTTCCTGGCTTTCTGGAAGCATTCTCAGGAAACGTGCTTCTGTTCACGGGGGGTGGTCACCTTTTTCCTCCAGGTGTGACTGATTCCATCGTCTTTCCATACTAAATTTCTGTCTCTCTTATATTTCCCTTTTAAAAATCATCACAGCATTTGTATGTGGTCTTCCTATGGATTTTTTCACAGCCGGCGCGGGCAGGGCTTTCGCGTGTCCTGGCCTAGAGTGGGTGAATTCTCTGTGATGTTCTAAGTCACCCAGGACCGGCTTGTTTCTATACACACATCCACCCACCTTCTCAAATTGTATTGAGGTCTGTAGGTTGCTTCTTTCCACTTTCCTATCACCTGAGCTTCGTAGCACTAACTGAAGGGCAAAGACCAGCTGGGGCAGATTACTGTCCTCTCTGGGTCGCTGAGCACTGGCCAGTGGAGAGATGGGTGGCTGACGGGTGACCCTCCACTCGTTGGGGTTCAGTCCACCACGGTGCTGGAAACAGCATCCCTCCTGCCTCCCCAAGTCACTCTGCTGCTTTTCCACCTGAGGGTGGTTTCTCCTTAGATGTCCACTCACCACTTGTTCATTCTCCTACAACGTGAGAGGCGGTGATGATCATTCTTGGATTCGTGGTTTCAAGTTTCTCTTCGCTTTCAGTTGCGCGTCTGGGGTGGGGATGGTATCGGAGGGGCCGTACACTGGGTCACCCGTCAGCCACCCATCTCTCCACTGGCCAGTGCTCAGCGACCTAGGCCTCAGCACCAAACCCTCCAGTTTCAGCTGCCTCGTTATTATTTCTCACCCATTTGGTCAGATTTGGTGGAGAGGGCGATTCCGGGATCTAGCCTCGTTCTCTGCAGTCTTTTCCTGGAAACTCCACATGTACGGATCTTGGATATAAAAACAGAACTGTGCGGCGACAGCTGGGGGTCCTTGGACAAACCCCTCACGCTCGAGGGGACTGCGGAGAGAAGCCGAGGAGACTGCGCGGGGCCTTCGTGAGATGCCTAAGCTACTAGCGCGCACTGACTTGTGAGCAGCTCCTGATATGGTCCAGACCTTGCAGGTTACACAAGGTGCAGGGTAATGAGCTGTTGATCTGAGCTTAACGTTTTCTCCGGACTGTTCTGCGTCTTGGCACTAAAGAGGCAAGGGCCTTTGCGGCTGATTTTGCACGTAAAAAAGAGACTGCTGTGCCCTCCTCCGGCGTACAGACCAGCTGTGCAGTCAGCTCTTGTCCTCGGGGAGAGGCCGAGTGATGGGATCTCCCGTTGGTTTGGGGGGTGGGCCCTCCCCTGGGCACACAGACCAACCCTCTGAAGGAGTTCCCACGCCTTCAGCAGAAATTTGAAGTCAGCAAACCTGCTGGGTCTGTTCAGGAGCCTCTGACCAAGATTCGCTGGCAGGAAAGTTCACTGAAAAACCTCAGAGGGGACATCCCTGTGAAGGAGGCATCTGAACGGAGGGCCTGGGCCCCATTTAGGGGTCGGTCTGCTCAAGCTGCTTTCGGCTGAGGCTGGACTCGGGTCCCCCGGCAGTACATTCCGTGAGGGTGTCTGTCTGCGGGTTCCCGCTAGTACCCTGGGCCACCCTTTCTCCGGTTATGGTTTTGGATGGGTAGGCATTCACATATTTATTCATCAATCTCTATGGTCTACAAGGTTTGCTGCCCTCTCCCACCCGTCAGGCGCCGAGGATAGAGCGGCACACCTGACGGGCAGTGTGGCTGCATTCCCGGGGCTTTATATCTGGGCTGGCTAGACAGGCACTCGCAGGTACACAGACGGGGGGTTACGGTGATCAGGACCTTTAGGGAATCATGGAGGCAGTGTGGCAAAGGGGATGGGAGGTAAGGCCTGGTGTCAACAGGGCCACTGGGGAAGGCTCCCTGTTGGAACATATTACTCACCTGACCTCGAGTGGGATCTTGGGTATCTTCTTAGAGATTTTGAACTGGCTTATGTCGCTATAGGTGTCGGTGAAGTACACTCCAGCCACACTGGTCACCTGGTTCCCGGGGAACTTGGACAGAACGTGTTCACGACCGTGCTCATTGGCCCAGTGCCAGGCGTGGCCCCCGATGAGCAAGCCTCCACCAGATTTTACAAACTGGACCAGCTCCTCAGCCAGGCATTCGTTGTAGGCATTGATGCAGTAAACCCCCAAGGGGTCTCCCGGTTCCTGCTGAACCTGCGCCTTCACCCCAGAGCACTGCAGGATAGCAACGAGTGCTTCTACGCTCCTGTGCACTCCCACGCGAGCCCCGGGAGAGGGACAGAGCCAGTTCACGACGTTGCGAAGAAATGGAGCCAGGCAGGCTTCCAGCAGGTAGCTCTCATGGGCCATCACCACCAGGCGGCCTTGGCCGTAGAAGGACCCAGCGATGAGGACCTGGCCCCTGTCATTCACCAACACTGGGAAGGCGGACTCTCCAACGAGGAGCAGTTCACACGGGGTGGGACTTTTCGGGATATCCCAGCTCTTCAATCCAAGCATAAGGGCCTCGAAAGCAGCCATGGTCACTCCGTTGCTGCAGAAGAAAGCAAACACGGCATGGTCAGAGCAGGTGGAGCAGTGAGGGAACACATGAAAGGCTGAATGCTTTCAGATAAGAACCATTTCTTGGGTCCCCACTGTGTGCCAGCACTGGGGGAGCAGCAGGGAACAAAACAAACCAGGCCCCCGCTTTCCTGAAGCTAGTATTTTAGAAGGGGAAGGACCCTAAATAAAGAGGTGACAAACAGATCAATAAAATGCAGCAACTAATAAGTGTTGGGGGGAAAAGAAAACAGAGTGAGGTGTCATTGAGCGACTGGAAGAGTACTTTAAACTCAGTGATAGGAAAGGCAGTTATGAGAAAGGGACACGGAAGCTGAAACCTGACATGTAAGGTCCCACTAAGAGAAGTGACAGTGTGGCCGCAGAGCACCTGGGCGGGGAGGAGTAGGACCTGGGTGGAGTGGGGAGGGAACGATGCTGCAGGGCCTGGTAAGTCACTGGGACAGGTGACCCGCATGTGGGAGATGACTTGTCTTTCTGTCACTTCCCTGGACCAAAAGGTCAGGTGACCTTTCAGAAACTGCATTTGTTCTGACAGCTTCTTCGACTAAACGAGTGAGGAACGCCTCCCGACTGAGCTTGTCTAACTGGGGAGTTCGCCACCTCTTTTGGGGTAGCATTCTGTGGTTTGGGGGGCTCGTTTAAAATTCGCTGCTCCTGAAACTAAGCTCACTATACCCCCTTAAAGCAGCTCCTCTTGGATAAACTTAGTTAAGCCTCAGTGTCCCTGTGTGCAGAAAAAAAATCATACATCTCTTAGAGGATTGGAGAGATTAAGAGAGCCCATGTAAAAACGCTTTGTCCTGGGCTGCGTGCACAGGGACCACTGAGAAAAATGTGTCTGTCCCTTTGCTGCCCTTTTTAGCTTCTCCAAGTGACAAGGCTCCTCTAGTAGATGCTCTGGTGCCGGTGCACGCC